TCAGTTTTTCGAAGTGATCGCAAACTTTTTTTGATGTGTGTATGTCTATACGATATTGTCTTTGACGTGAAATAAAACACAAAACATTTTACATGCAACGAGATTTGTCCAACTGAAATTAAAAATTCGCATTGTGGCAAAACGCTATGAAAATTTGATAATGCACAAACAATCGCAAAAGCGCACGGTGCTAAAAATTAAAACATTTCGTGTGTTTAATGAACAATTTATTAAAGAATAAAAACACAAAAATAACATTAACACATAACATTCTAAAGACATTGTGTTATCTTACCACAAAACCATGTATACATTGGATGTTTTATAAGAACGTACAGCATGACAAAAATATATATACTAACATCTGTCTGTGCAAGGATTTTTGCGTATAATACTATTTTCGCCGTTGTAGTACAAAAAGTGACTTCAACGCAACACTTAAAAAGGAAGTGTTCACCTACATCAAGTATATACATTTATACACGAAATTTCTTTATGGAAACATTGTGTCACAGCCAGAAAACACGCTGGCCCTATACGAGCTGGGGTCTATTTATAAATTGTGTGTAACAAAACATATTAGTCTAAAGTGCCTACTATTGGCCTAATTTAAACACAAAATGAGAAAAACAGTTCTTCGTTAGTTACAAATTCTGTTAGATAGTCGTTTGTCTTAAGACAATACCTGTTATGTTAAATATAATTGAATGCAGCGATAAAATTAATTCGTCAAAAATAAAAACACTTTTGCTCTAGAAAGTACTTCTATAAGTAACAGCTGTTATATCTGTCATTTTATTAATAAGTTTTTATAACATTTATAGATATTGTCAGTTAAATTAGTAACTCCATTAATGTGAATTTTTGAGTAGGCACAAAAGCTGAATCATTAGAAATAATTATATGACAATATGATTATACTTTTATTTGTTAACTAAAAAAGTCCATAAACCGAGTTACGTTGTTTTCAAATTTAGCCGACGGTATGTAAAATTAATATAAACCAGGTGGAAATTAATAATAAAAATATTTTGATATAGTTTTGCCGCAATTCGCGAAAAAATTTCATTACACAAAATTAAGATATATTTTGTTAACCGATTTTAAAAAAGGAGGAGGTTCTCAATTCGACTCCGTCCGTTTTTTTGTATATATGTCACGCGTTAACTGACAACTTAATTTGTGGACCGATTTTGATGATGATTATCAGAATTGGTCCCATTTAAATTTGCAGAAAATATTTCACCTCTAAAGGTCGCAAACTAAGGGATAAATCCTGTATGGCGGATTTTCCGGTAACCGATTTTTAGTAGAACTTGGCAAATAGATGTAATTTCACGAACTTTTGAGGTCGGGTTTTTTGTACTGTACTGAGATTATTATGCCACAAGTAATACCATTTCATAATACGGGCAATGTCACGGACCACGTTACGTAGACGCACCGTAAAGGTACAAAAACAAAACTTTACAAATTTTTAAATTCATATCTACGAATTGTTTATAAATTTTTAATGGACGCTTGAATTATGTTTTACGCGAAGGTCTATACGCTTGACAGATTTGAGGTCACGAGGTATATTACCACTGTCACAAAAAACTGATGTTGATTTTTCTCTTACTATTGCATAAAGTCTTACTTTTCGTTGTTCATTCCGTTGAAGATTATAACTTTTGCATTTGCACCATTAAATTTTACTGATTCTTTGGATTTAAGTAACGGACGGTGTAATATCACACTGTTGATTCCTAAATACACTTAGAACAACTTATATAAAGGCTTCAAAAATTGATTCACTTGTTTATTAAATTGTTTGTACGTTTTTCTGGGGCGAGTTGTGATGTAATCAGCCAAGGCGGTGCCGAGGCCCGAAGCTGCGGCAGATACTACGTTCTGCAGCGGTCGGTTAAACGGCCTTTGATTGAGTGCGGGTGTATTGTAGCCTTGGTTGTATCCGTTGTAGTTCCCTGCTCCACCGTAACCACCATAAGTTGGTCCACCGTAAGCACCAGGACCTCCGTATCCGCCTAAAGCGCCTAATCCACCATGGTGTCCTCCTAGGCCTCCGTGATGTCCACCCAGCCCTCCATGATGGTGGCTTTGGCTCTGACTGACGCCTATATTGATGGGGTAGGGCTGTATGGGCCCAATGGGTGCGACGGGTGCTATAGGTACCGGCGCCGCCACGGGCACCGCGGCTATTCCACATCCAAAAAAATAATTCATCACTGGAGCTGACACGTATGTGTAGTCATGCAGGCCGAAAAATTTTTCCCCAAAAGTTCTGCCGTATCCTCCACAACCGCCATTGTTTTGTCCCTTTCTTCGACGCTTCTTGTGACGTCTTTCCAAGTCGTCAGCGTCCTCTACGTCCAAATCTTTGGTTGCAGTGTCCTTTTCTGCAATTACTATTGTTGTGCAGTAAATCAACAGAACGATGATAGCGATTTTCTGAAAAAAACATGCATGTTATAGTAACATTATACTATTGTGAACGATTCAAACGATGCGACGATTCCCACTTACCATTTCGATTTGGT